CCTCGGCGCGCTTCCGGGTCCGCGCCATCTTGGCTGCGCGTCGAGGGTTGGCGGCCTCCTCGGTGAGGGCTGGGTGTTAGCGGGGTGGGGTCGCTCCGAGATGAGGAGCGGGGCTCCTGTCACTTGGCAGGGACTTAGAGAAACGGCCGAGGCCGGCCAGGAGTGGCTCACGCAACCTCGCGTGCGAACTTCTGCTCTGGTTTCTGAAGAACCTGGGTTGATGCAAATCGACCCAGGTATTTTTCGGGACTAAGGTACTCGGGGTCGGGTTTGTCCTCTGGGAGCTATGGGTAAAGACTCTTGGCTGTGTCCTGGGGAACCAGGGGCGAATGAGCTTGACCCTGGCCTCTGGGAGCACAGCGCAAGGGGCCATGGCTCTGTCCTTGGAGATCCCCGGTGAGAAGCACTCAAGGGAGCAGCCTGGGGTGAGGGGCCAAGGGGTCTGCCTCCCAGTCCTGGGGAGCTTGGGATGGTGGGGCCTGGTCCTGTCACAAAAAGCCCAGTATTGGGGAAATTAGGTTCTGTCGCATGGACTCCAAGATTTATGAGGGGATCTTACGGCCCTGTGTAGAGGAACTGGAATGTAAGGAGTAAGCGACTTCCCACGGTGAGGGAGGCATGGCCCCTGTTGTGAGGGTGAGTGAATGTGATTTTGTTCCTGGGAATGAGAAGCAGGGCCACATCCCGGATGGTGTGGATGGAGTAATGGACGATAACCTGGGACCTATTGCCTAGCATTCATTCTGATACCTTCCTACAGTGGGCAGCAACTTGGAACTCACAGCAAGCAAGATGGAGCACTACCGGAAAGCTGGCTCTGTAGAGATCCCAGCACCTTCCCCAATGCCTCAGCTACCTCCTGATACCCTGGAGATGCGAGTTCGAGATGGCAGCAAAATTCGAAACCTGCTGGGGCTGGCCCTGGGTCGGTTGGAGGGCGGCAGTGCTCGGCATGTGGTGTTCTCAGGTTCTGGCCGTGCTGCAGGGAAAGCTGTCAGCTGTGCTGAGATTGTCAAGCGTCGTGTCCCAGGCCTGCACCAGCTCACCAAACTGCATTTCCTGCAGACTGAGGACAGCTGGGTCCCAACCTCACCCGACACAGGCCTAGACCCCCTCACAGTACGCCGCCATGTGCCTGCAGTGTGGGTACTGCTCAGCCGTGACCCCTTGGACCCTAGTGAGTGTGGTTACCAGCCCCCAGGGGCACCTCCTGGCCTGGGCTCTGTGCCCAGCTCCAGCTGTGGCTCCCGATCCCGAAGAAGGCCTCGAGACAACCGGTCCTGAAGACCTTCTGAGATAAGCTGTTCTCTGGGTCTGAATATCTAGGATTACTGCTTTTTCTGGGAAACTGAACATCCCCAACAAAGCCTGGTCCACAGAATTCCTGCTACCCTGTCCGTCTGGCATATAGGAAGGGACTACAGTACTATGAAGAATAACAGGTGTGGAGCCTCTGCTGAGTTCTGGATTGCTTGAGAAGGCTTTAGTCTGCCTTCTACATACGGAACATCTAATCTGCCTTCTGACAGGCTTAGGGAAAGACTTAGGGAATAAAGGTTCTACCATTTGTCTGATGAGCCTCTGCTTGGCTGCTTTGTAGAAATGATTTAAAAGGAACAAGAGTCCTTGCCTTTGCCCTCTTAAGAGTACATGTGTTGGAGGTATGCGGGGGGTAGGTCGGGGGTGTAAAGCCTAGGCTGGCGTTGGGAGGACCAAGTGTTAAGGAAGTTCAGGTGTAGCCTGTAGTAGAGTACTTCCTAGCATACATGAGGTCTGGGATTCAATCCCTAGCACTACACATACACATAATGCACAAAAAGCCTCAATCAGCACTGAGAATCTAGGTTCCTGGATGGCTGTTTGCTACCTGATTTGGGCGGGTTTAGGAACTGCCAGGTCATTTTTCCTCAAATGTAACATGTGTTATAATAAGATTGTTTACTGAGTCACCACAATAGCCTGCCTGGGTTTGAATCCTGGTTCTGTCGTAGAAGTTACTGTTTTTGTGACCATAGCAAGTTACTGATCTGTGCCTTAGTATTCTCATTGTAATGCAATAATGTTTACTTCAACAGGTATGGTGGGGTATGCCTGTAATCTGGGAGACTGACACAGAAGATCAAAAGTTCAATTGGGCAATTTAGTGTGACCTTGTCTCAATAAAAAAGGGTTTGGGGCCTGGGGATTTAGCTCAGTGGTGCTGCTTCTTGCCTCATAAGCACAAAGTTCTGAGTGTGATCTCTAGTACCATAAAAAAAAAAAGGTGGGGAGCTTGGGATATAGCTCAGTGTGAAGGCCTGGGTTTAGTCCCCAAGACCACAAAAAAAAGTGTTTATCTCATAGAGTTGTTAAAGAGAATTAAATGAGAAATATATTTGACAGATACTACCTGGGTATCTAGTGCCATATAAATGCTTATTGCTATTATCCTTAATGACTCATTTTATGAATGCTTTTTACTAATTTAAAAACACCTCAGTTGCTAGGCATAGTGATATAGCTATAATACCAGCACTCTGGGAGGCTGAGGCAAGAGGATCACAAATTTGAGCCCAATCTGAGATTTTAGCAGACCTTAACTCAAAATAGAAAAGGCTACAGATAGATACAGGTCAGCATGAAAGCTCTTGTTTTCAATCTCTAGTACTGAAGGCGGGTAGTTCAATCCCACATCTTTCCCTGAGTTTCATCCTTGGCTTTGTACCCCTTGCTGTTCCTTTTCTGCTTCACTTTGGCCTTATACTCAGATCTACAATGGTGAGATCAAGTGCATCAGGGAAGAAATAAAGGTTGAATCAGTAGCTAAGGGCTATTGCATTAAAGCAGGTTTGTGGGCAAGGATAGACTCCAAAGAGTTTAATCAGATCTCCCATGGATCTCAAGGTTTTTTTCAATGTGTTCAGCAGCCTGGATGTCTAGTCATGAGGAAGCAGAAAGTTGGAACTCAATTTATATGGTGTTCTTTTGTTATTTTTGGTCTCTTTGAGATGGTCTTACTATGTAGTTCAGTCTGACTTTAAACTCACTGTGTAACCCAGACTAGCCATATATTCAAAACAATCCTCCTGCCTCAGACTCTCATGTTCTGGGTTAACAGGCATGTGCCACCACACCAAGCTATCGGCATGATAAGGGTTTTAAGAAGGATGAGGTAGGGCCAGGGATTTAGCTCAGTGGTTCCACCGCCTGCCTTGCTAGTGCAAGGACCTGTTTGATCCCCAGTATCAAAAAAAAAAAAAAAAAAGGATGTGATCACAGGGCCAGTAGACTATGGTCAGAACTTTTTATTATTTTTCTTGTGCTGGAGACCAAACCCAGGGCCTTGGACATCCTATCCTTTGCTTTCAGAGATAGTTTAGCCCTGAGTAATATGAAAGACCCTGAGGATAGGCTGCCCCTGAGCTCACTATGTAGTCCAGGCTGTCCTCAGACTCCATGATCCTCCTGCCACCACGCCCAGCTCATCGGTTATTTTCAAGTGCCAAAACGATAAGGATCTATACATATAGTTTAAGGTATATCAGCATATTTAAAACTTTTTAAATAAATTTTATCCATCCCCCGCCACAGTCCCCTAGCCAGGGATCAAACTCTGAACCTTGCACTTTCAAGACAGGCAGCAGCACCACTGAGCTAAATCCCCAGCCATGTTTTAAACTAAAAAAAAAAAAAGTTTTGTTTGGGACAAGATCTTGCTATGTAGTTCTTGAAGTCACTATCCCAGGCTGGCCTTGAATTTGCAGCAGTCCTGCCTGGCCTCCCAAGTGCTGGGACTACAGGCATGGGCTACCATGCCCAGCAAGAAATAAAGTTCTATACTGCTCACAATTTTTAAAAAATTACCTTCATATCTACAAAGAAACTATATAGCTATAATTCCTCCCAGAGCCATCATATATGTCCTGCCCATACCCATAGAACCAACACTTTGAAGTGGATCCTTGACAATTCCTGACATTTGCAAATTGCAAAACCAAAAACAAAACAAAACTGTAATTCAGGGGTTTTACTCCATCTCAGCTTCTACATAACTGCTTTTTCTCTTAACATCTTCACTTGTGTGTTTTCCGTTATTAACGTTTCTCAGTATTGTAGGTCTTTAGATCTTTCAGGCCAGTTTCTTGTAGACTGTTGGCCTTTGACAGCATCCCATCCTGATCCATTCTGTGGCCAGGAAGGAGAAATCACATGGAATAAGCATGGAAACTGCTAAAGGAGCAATTCAGTAAGGTGGCATTGCAAGACCCTTGAGCCCAAGGGACTCCTGATTGGGTTGCTTATCATTGAGGTACCACCTGGGTGCCCCAGGATGATAAAAGTGTTATTGTGGAGGGAAATAACAGGTCAAAATCCCACTGGGGAAGGGCTGAGGGTTTAGCTCAGTAACACCTTGCCTGCCTTGCAAGTACAAGGTTCTGAGTTCAGTCCCCAGTACTGCAAAATAAAAACCAAAAATCCCCCTGGAAAGACGCGATCTATATTTCAGAAAATCCAGAGGTAAGCTACAAACAGGCAGGGATGGCTAGCAGTTCTGGAGCATTTTCCCTTCTCCTTGGCCTCTACAAGGCCCAGCTGGAGCCTGTAGGAGGGATGTCAGGGAGGGAGCCAGAGAAAGGTGAGGCCTTTGGGATGAGAAAGCCTAACCAAGCCTATAAGAGAGGACTAGTTGTATATAATTTTTTACTTCCCGCTTTTCTTAATACACTGCAGTATAGTTTCTGTTTGCATAACTTATTAGAAAAGATTTTGCCTTGGCTACAAAAAGAAATGAGGCCAGCCTTTTCTTGAAGTTGGAGAGATGACTCCTTGTAACAGGAAAGAGTTGAGGATGGGTGTGTATACAGATACGTGTGGAGAAGCAGGAGTCCAGTTCTATTGCTGAGAGTGGGGTCAGGAAACTGGTGGGAAATGTGAGGTCGCTGTTACTGGGAAAGGAAGGTGACTGGACAGGGCTAAAAGCCCAGGGTAGGTTGTTGACTGTGAACTTGCATATTAGTAGGTGAGCTTCAGCAGCATCTACAAGACAGACAAGTGCTCATGAAACACACTACTGCATTCTTCCAGACAGGTTCCTGGGTGTTCAGGAAGAAAAGTCAGTGAAGGTCAAGTCAAGAAATTAAGAGACAATAAATAAATAAATAAATAAATGAAATACCGAATAACACCAGAGAATCTTAAAAAAAAAAAAAAAGGAAATTAAGAGGGGGTTGTGTTTATGTGTAAGGAACATCCAGATGGGTAATGGAGTCACCCAGGATGGAATGTGTTGACCAATCTCATACCTGCCTTAAGCAGTGGTGTGTATTTTTACCCTTGAAATGGGGACTTCAGAATATAATATGCCTGGAAGTACATAGTATATGGTTCCCAATCCAAGCAGACACTAAGACCTGACAATTTTGTCTTCCAGGTCTCTGTCCCCACAGCCAGTGTTGGTTTATGCTTCTCACCTGGCAACAATGTCATGGCAGGTCTCCCTGCTTTACTCCCCGTCCTCAAGCCCTGTTCCTTTGTTTAGAATGTTCTCCTCCAGATACTTACACAGATAAGTCCCTGCCTCCTTAAAGCCTTTGCTTAAATGTCACCTTAATGAAGCCTACTCTACCTACTCCATTTAAAATTGCAGGTCAGCACCTTTGATCTCTCTTACATGTCTTTTTTTAATGTATATTTTACGTTCTAAAGATAATTTTTTTTTCTTTTTGGTACTGGGGATTGAACTAAGGGCCTTGCGATTTCGAGACAGGTGGAGGAACCACTGAGCTAAATCCCAGCCCAAGTTAATGTCTTTAAAATAATGTTTGTATTTATTATCTACCCCTGATAAGAATATAAGCTCTAAAAGGACAAGGATCTTTCTTTCACTGATACAGTTTAAAGATCTTAAACATCACTTGGCACACAGTAAGTAGGTGCTCCATTAATTTTTAATGAATGAATGTTGAACCTGGAAGTGTGTTGCCGCACTCAGAGTGACCTTTGCTGACATTCTGCTCCTGTGACCTCCCATTGCCAGATTAGAAGAGAAGATCCAAATTCATTTATTGAATGGCCTTGTAGCTTAACTGCTGCCCATGATTCAGTCCATCTTTGGCCTGGGCTCTGACACATTAATGCCTCACCCTTCCCAAGCACTGGGAGATTTCCCTCCTCAGATCCTTCGGTCTTGTCATTCTGTCTATTTGGAATTCAGCAATAGTATTTGAAGGACACTGATGATAACCTTTGAGAACTTTCCCAGGGCCTACCTTCCCATTCCCTCCTTTTGACGGGAACTACAGCCTGGCGCTTACCATTGCTGGAGCTCAGGGATCAGGCCTGATTTTGTTGGTCATCTCCAGGTCCCAGATTGGTTCCTGCTCTGGGTAGGCTATGTGCTGACTACACTCCTATACATGGACGCAAGGTGGCAGCATTTGCAAAGGGATTACCCGTCCCTTCCCTTTGCAGTGTCTGCTGATTTCTTGAAGCCCCAAATGCAGAGAAGATGCAGTAGTTTAATTTTCAATTTTTCAATCAACCACATGTGGACTATAGCCATACATATATAATTATTTTACTATTTTGTCCTCAGGTAGAGATGTGATTATGATATGATAAGTCCACAGAGTAGAAAAGTTTATTACTGCAGGAATCAGAACTCCTAGCCCACCCTTTATGGACAGGTAAAGCTTCAAAGTGGAGGTAGCTGGGTGCAGATACAGGGTTGAAATTTGGTCCATGGGGGATTCAGTGAGATCTCAGTAACAGCAAAAAGCTAATTATTACACTGTGACAAAGTCACGACTCAGAATCTTGACCACATGTGGGCCATACATATACAGATAACCACTATTTTGTCCTCAGATGGGGTGTGATTATGGTATGACAGGTCCGCAGATTAGGAAAGTTCACCCAGCCTTTAGGGACAGCCAAAGCTTCAAAGAAGTGGAGGTAGCTGGGTGCAGTGACACATGCCTATAACCCTAGCACTGCTGGAGGCCACAGTAGGAATATCCCAAGTTCGAGTCCCTCCTAGACAACTTAATGAAAACCTGTCTCAAAAAAGGGCTGGATATGTAGCTCAGTGGTAGAGTATCCCTTGATTCAATGTCCAGTACAAAAAGCTGTAGTAGTAGTAGTAGTAGTAGTAGTAGTAGTAGTAGTAGTAGTAGTGATGCCTGTGTAGAATCTTGAAG